CTTGTGCTCATAAGAAAGTAACTTGTGCACACAAGATAATAACTTGTGCGCACAAGATAAAAATATTTCCTTTTGGGGACTTCAACCATTTACAATGAACTTTAATTTAACTGAGTAGCTTTTTACCATTATATAGTACATTCAGGATACTCATAGTGCTCATAAGTTATGCTGTTTGTGCAGTTAGGAGAAAACTCCTGATCAGGTAATCTCTGAGAAATCTTAATCTACATTAACTTTTGAAAGCATTGAACTGAGGACGAATTGGTTTTTAGTGCATTCAAATTATTACCATCAGGCTATTTCACAGGTGATCATATAACTAACTGGTCTCCAATAGTGAATATGTGCCTTTTACTTCAGTAGTGTTCAGCAAGTCAAGTAAAAAATAACTTCTAAGTAAATTGAGTAAGAAGTTTTTCTCATCATGCATCAGTATAATCAAATGCCCCGTGCAGACACTCTGGACTCTTTGTCAGTCTTGTGATATGCCACATATTGTCCACACTTGTCAGTGGTAAAAACCACATATTCTCACTTCATCGAAAGCAGCAGCATGGAGAGAGGCAGCAGGAAGCTGACTCTTCATCAGTCTGGTAACTTCCAGACTCAGGCTGGTCCCTGCACTCTGCTATGAAGGCCTGAAGCTGGGACACTGGCACCTTGTCTTGCTGGTGATGCTGGTCAAGAATCATTTTATAGTATTAAAACACGCAAAGGATAAATAAAAACGATGACCTGAAAACATCTCTCTAAGAATATGTCTCAGGTGAGTCAGACTGACCTTGATGGTCTCATACGTGTCAGTAATGAGAGCGATGAACAGGCTGAGCACCATGTAGATGAAGAGGGAGATGAAGGAGTAGAGGTAAACTCTGCTGAAAAGCCACACTATGTAGCTCTTGTCTCTCATCTTCAGGAAGGTGGCGTACATGTCGTCCCCGTTGATGAGGGAGAAGAGGCACTCTGTCACCTTGTCGAGTGTTCGGAACTGGACGAAAAAGTTTAAAGAACTTTTAATATTTCAGTGTCAAAAGAACAGAGCTCATTCATGCCTCTGCGAATGTATTAGGCCACACTGATACTTAGAAATAGATTATAATTATAATTTCCATACTTTGTCGTGGTAAGGCCCAAGGACAATCCAACCACAGAAACAGTACCCGAGGTAGATCATGGCCGCACAGCAGCAGAATCGGATCACATTTGGGAATGCCGCCCTTAGAGTTAAGATTAATATCTAGAAAGGAGTGAAGGTTTTCAATTCCCCGTGGATATGCATTAGCTACGTTTGACAAGTATATGCATTAGGCAAAAACAAAAAGCAGTGTCATGGAAGCTCTTACATTGTATTTCTTGAAGAAGCCAAGGTAACGAATCACGCTGACCCAGACAAGCATCGTGGCTGTTCCCAGCAAGATACTGCAGACATCATAGTTCGTTAGGTACTGCAAGAGGAAGGAAAGTACAATTAGATAAACTAGAAATCAAATGAGTTCATTTTCCTATATGATGCTGCAAACATAAGATTTCATAGCTAGTGCTAAACAAACCTTTGTTTGTATTCCAATTTTGAGAGCTGACCCAGCGATGGTCAGTGTGTCACTCACAATAATGAGGATATACCAGCCATTCACAAACTCCATGCGGTCTGACCAAGTCACAATTTTATTGTAGTAGGTGTGGAAGAATATGTTGAACTCCTGCATGAGAGAAACTCAGATATTGTAAAACAGATACGCAACAAACCAGGATTCATCTCTACACATGGCAGTTGCTTAATTACCACATGATATAACACTTTATTTACTTATGAGAAGTTTGTACTTTTTATTTGATGATGAGGTGACAACTCTCAAAAAACATTTTATCAGATCAAAAATATATTACATAAATCCTTCTAAATGTTAATTCATATGCATTGTCCCTCCTTAAATAAATAAACAAATATCTGAATGCTGTTTAAAGCTTTTCCAACTCTGAAAAACTGAAACAATTTTAAATATATTGAGTTTAAAATGACTGGAATTAGCCTCTAAAAACACCCACCATTAACCGTATAATGTAAACTCCTCAAATTGACCTCAGTGTCCGATATAGCTACAGTCCCCTGAATGAATTACCTAATGGCTTAACTGTAAGTATAGCTAAAATGTACTAAAATCCTGTACATCCATCAGTGGTCAGTGTAATAATCCATTTATTTTGTTAACTTACAAACTGGAGTTGAATGCCATTGATGACAGATCGCATGCAGAGGATGAGAGAGGTGAAGCAGGCGAGGATGACCAGAGAATCAAAGGACAAGAGGAGGTAATCGTTCTTATCAGCTGGAAAACAGTCACAGATCTCAGGTTAGCATTTTGTTGTTGTTGCATTTACTGTTTACAGAATAATGTCATTGTGCCCCTTGCTGGCCTTTGAACCAATAACCTGTATATATTTGTCTGGGTATATACAGTATGTGAAAGTATATGAAATTGAGTTTGGGTTCAAACTTACACGTGCCTTCCACATTCCAGTCTCTGCATTCATAAATTATTACATCATTCACAACATCAACCTTTATCTTCCCACTGTGTGCACGGTTGTCAAACATGATCTGTAAAAATCAAAGAAAGAGTTAGTGAGGGGCAAGTTAAACACAAATTACTCATGTATTCATGTATGTTTTCATTTGTTAACTAGTCATATCAGCCCAAAGCCACCCACATCTTGCACTATTCAGATGTAGTCACCAACCATTATATGGAAGTCATAACAGTCTGGTAGCTCGTGGTGGCGCACAGTCTGCAGATTGATGGTTTTCAGGGTTAGGTTGATGCTCACTGATAGCAGCCTGCACACACAAACATATATTAGCAGGAAGCACTCTTTATTGCCTGGCATGAAACCAGTATTTTCAGTTTAGTCACCTTTTGAAATCTAAAGAGAAGTTCAAGTGCGACGCCAAACTGCTGTTGTCAAACGACTGCATGGGATATATGGAAATACAATCTGTGAGGAGGAAATACAGGCAATAAACAACGTTAGATCAGTTAGTCATTGGATGGTTCAGCAGATGAATTATTCTGCATATTAGAGTACGAGCTTCCTCTTTTAACTGAGTCACAAGTAAATCCACATTGTGATTATTTTCCATTCATGCCATGAATCAGCGTCCATAAATACATCTTCCACATGAAATCAGACTAAAACGTATGCAACACAAGGTAGCTATGGTACTTAAATAAAACCTGTTTATGTCTCTATATAGTTTTTTTTTTTACCTTTGTCAATGTGTGGATCAATGTCAAAGGTCTCATTTCCAGGATCGATTGTGCTGTTTCTGTAAAACTCTTGACAGACAGACAGAGGAGCGTACTTTCCATCAACCCTCTCATATGCAAGGTTACCTACTGTCAGGTTGTGGAGATCGATGTACTAGACAATGAATATGGAAAGAAGAGTTAAATGTATATTTTAATGCAATAAAATTATAAATTTTTGCGATGAAATTAAATCTCAAATGTCAGTACCCTGTTGATGACGTAGTAGATGTGATCATACACATCTGCTTTTGTGTACAGTGCAAAGCTTCCCAGCCGGTGGTCCTTGTATCCTTTTAGAAACAGGTGTCTGAATGTCATCAGATTTTCTTCTTTGAAGGTGACCATCATTTCGTTGCTCAGGCCAAAAGAGACTAACTGAAGCAGAAAGAAAAACGCCCATACACATTTCAGACCAAGAGACATCTAGCCAAGAACTAACCAAATAATTCTGTATAGTACCTGGATTGTGATGATTGCGATTTTTAGGATTTGTAGCATCAGTTTCCATGGTTTCCGACCTCTGGCTCTGTATTTTTCACAGGGGTTCATGAAGAAGTACTTGAGCCTCCGTCTGAAGTCCTCCACCACCTTTGACTCCAGGCTCTGAATGTGAGTGCTCCATCTGCAGTGGCCGTTCAGCCTCCTCTCCTCTGACCTCCCGGCCAACAGCTGCTCGCAGTCCTCCATTATACTGAAGTACAGAACCGAATCTGACTATTTTTGAGGAGACTGCTTTGTGTTTCTCAGAACACACATCAGAAATGTGCTGAAGATTAGGTAAGAGTACAACCATTCCAGTCATTCTGATGTTTATCAAACTGGTTCTCCTGCATGTGCTCACTGTCTCTGTCAGTGTCACTCTAAAATCTCTAAAATGTTAGTTTGTAGTCCATGTTAATGACGCTAAAATTAGCTATAACGCTCTACAAACTACAAAAAGAATCAGTTATCCATTTATAGCTCACCAAAGGGTTATTGAAGCAGACCTGCCTGCAACAGCGAGCAGTTATATATAGCAAATGTAGGCTTCAACAACTTATGTAACAAATTACTTAACATATCATACTATTAAATTTAAAGTCTTTGCAGAAAAAGCAAGCAGTAAAGTTAAAGGCAGTTGTATTGCAGATATTATTGTAGTGTAATTATATATTTTTGACAACTCTTTGCTGGAATATATCTACATATATTAGAGTAAAAGCTACAAATTGTGAGGAAAATGTGACAATAACAATAATAATAATGATAAATGAATTACCTGCCACAAAGTATGTTGTCTAACCCTCTGGGCTTCTCTGCTGTCTATGAAGATCTGTTTGCAGATGCAGTCACCTCACCAGCCTTTACCACTATGACTGTCACTCCTCTGCGTCATTTTAAGCTTTTCCAGTTTTTCCAAAACCAAAATAGAGCTCCACAGTTACAGGATCTCCGCACGAACATACACTGATACTGTCGCGTCGGCAATCTGTCAAAAATGTCATCTGAATTTCACTTCATGAATATTATGTTGCAAGAGCAATCAAGAGTAGAGATATTATGACTAGAAAGCAAATTAGTCAAAGGTTACAGGATTTCTTAGTAGAGGATCTTAGGATCTTAGTAATATGTCCTAACTATCTAATAACAATACCACAAAATTTGTTTTTAAACCACCACGTACTCACCAATAAAGAAAGAAAACATGAGTTGAATTCATACAGAAAACCTTTAGTATGCAACAGATGATTGTACATGACCAGAGAACGAAGTAACAAGCAGGACATTGTTTGTATTTCCCAATAAGTTGTGATTCAAGACTTGTGTAGTGACGAAAATGTAAAGCAACTTCTTGTTGACTTAATGCTGCATAGAATTAAACCGGAAATCATTATTTTTTGGCGATACATCCCGCAGGTCACAGGCAGCATCTTATGAGATCAGACTTCACACACACACACACACACACACACACACACACACACACACACACACACACACACACACACACACACTATAGGCTCAAGTAGTCATTCCAGTGTATAAAACGTTCTCAGTGCACCTAAACTGTAGCTGCTTTATGGTTTTTCAGGAAATCACATGTTAGATGAAAGAAGAGCAAGGTAGGAGTGCATGAGTCAGATTTTCCCAGCTCACAACATGGGTATCAAACCCCAATGCACCGAAATGTGTTTGAAGCATGTGCGGAAAACTGTACCGAAAGCTGGCATCGAACGCTTGCTCAAATTTGCATACTTCTTTACTTAAATACTGATTAGACAGTTTCTGATTCATATCATAATTCTTGCTACTTTTAAACTGGTTTTTATATAGGAAGTTATTGTACAGCTGCTTATATTCAACATCTGAGACATGTGGGTTCTTCTATTTAATAAAAAAAGGGGGTTTTGCAGACAAAATTCAGGTATTGTGTTGGCATTATGTTTAATTGGCACCAGTATTTAAAACCTTACACCCCAAGCCCAAGTAACAAACTGTCCCTATTTTCTCTTGTAAACAGCTGATTGTTATAGTAGTAGTATATCCCATGTATATCAATTTCTCTCTGACCGCCTAATCAAAGGCAAGAGCGACACCAAAAAGAGTGCGAGACAACAATGAGAGTATATAATAATAACAATGTTCGTATAGGAGGAATCTGCTGGTCCGTCCCTTTTAACTGCATGAGCACTGTCTTATTGAGAAGTGGCATTAAAAGATGCTCCTGTGTGACGTTGGAGTGAGGGAGCGTGACCGGAGCGGCTGGAAGTTCGGGTCCCCTCCGCTGCTGGTGCACCCCGGCGCTCCGCCGTCTATGTTGGAGGGGGATTCAACCATTACCTCATCCGGCAGCGGAGGAGCACCTGGGTCTCCGGGCCTCGGGAGGCTGGAGGAGGTCGTGGAGGATGCTACACCAATGCTAGCACTAGCCCCAGAGGGCAAGTCTGCACCTTTCTGTAATGAGGACAGACTGAGTGAGCCTACGACATTCGAAGTGGAGGGGCTTCGCTCTCCGTCTGGGTGGAAGAGGAGGGTGGAGTTGTTTGAAAACGTTGAGGGGAGGTCGCTAGTTGTGCTGGGAGAGCTGAGGTTGCTGTCAGATGAGGAACTGGAAGCCCCTGCTGCGGAGTGACAGATAAAGGAGGAAAAGGTGGAAAGGAAAGTTGAAATAGAGCATCCAGAAGATATAATAGATTTGATATACACAACAGATGTCACTGTGCCTCGGCCTACTAACCTCTGAGGGACTCGAGCTTCTCGTTTTTGGCCTTCTGCACCTCATCCGTGATCTTGGTGATGATGAAGTTTTGCGAGCGCATCTCTCTTATGGAGTCAGTCAAGGCATCCAGGCCCCGGGGATTCTCGGCCAGTATGTCCAACAACATGGCTGTCCTCTTGGTCTGCGTGGACCTGCAGCTGATTTCCTCCGCGTCATCTCGTGTGAGGATCCTGCGAGAGCGCAGGTAGTCGAGGTGGCGTTCGGCTCTGATCTTATCACAGAGGTAGTGCCGCAGTCTGGTCAGCACCTGGGAAAACCCCACAGCCAGCATGTGGGAGAGGCAAAAGGAGAAAAAAGTGACGCGTCAAGAGGGGTAACTCTTTTAGAATATGCAGGATATCACTCAAACAAAAGACTTACTGTAGGTTATATTCACTATAAGCATAAAGCAGGTGGTCTGAAATCACTTATATAACCTGGCCTGTCTCTGTCTCTACATAACACTGAGTTGTCTATCACTGTTTCAGCTTCTGGTGGTGCTTTTAATAAGGCAGCCTGTTTGTAATAACAAAAGAAAAAGTGCACTTAACCTCTAAACTGTGCCTTTAACATACTGTCAAACCCTAGAGAGGACTGAGTGCTGATGAGGGCAAATAGGAAGGTGGGGTATTTCCTCCTTTAACAGGCCTTTAACGCCAAACAAGGCACAAATAATGGTCTGCAGAGCCACAAACCTATCTCGTATTTTCCCACACACTTTACCCCAAAACGTTCATCTTTATTCGGGAGAGAGTTTGTGGCTGAATTATCGTACTCACGTCTTTTTTAATCTCTGCCATTTCATCTTCAGTGAGATGAGGAACATCCATCCCTCTCACCCGCCAAGTGAAAATCCAGGTGTTCCGGGTAACGAACGACGACTAAAATAAGTTAGTAAGGTAGTAATAGTGAAATAAACGACATTAATAAATTAACCGTGAGCGTTAACAGGTGTGGCTCTCCATTATTTGTCGTCAGAAGGTGCCGTATCCACTGTCCATTCAAGTTTTTTTCTGTCTGAAACAAACAAAAAAAAAAAAAAAACTCCCCGGACTTCCTGATTCTGTCGAGGTTTACGTCGACACGAGAAGAAGAAGTACAGAGAGCCGAGTCGGTGGTTTCACACTTAAAGCTGGTTTCTGTAGTTTAACAGTTTATAATAAAGATATAATGTTCTTTATTACAATAGCAGACAAGGCTACAGTCAGACTTTCCTCTTGTTGAATCGTCTTAATTGTTTTTTTTAAGCGCTTTTCAGTCTCTTGTGTTGCAGGTGAGGTGAAGCGCGGTTCCGATTAAGTCCACTGGGTGGCGCTGTCGGATCTCTTCTCACTGCACAGGGGTTTCCATACAGTAGTAGTGGCGATTAGGTGCATCAAGTGCTGTGCTTCTGTTCAGTTTTTAGGTATTTATACGTACTGTACTGTGGTATTTCTATTTAATGTGATTTTATGCTGACTTCTACTACATTTGTCTGACAGCTACACCTGCAGTGGTGAATAAGTACTATTGCACCATCAGGCTTGGTACTTACATGTGTAGTAATTTAATTGGGATGCAAAAAGGTGTATTGTAATCCATTATAGTTACAGGAAAAAAAGATGTAATCAGATTACAGTTACATTTAGTAAAAAATTTGATTATTTAGCAGGTTTTTCTGCAGAAGACAATTTTTTTTAATGCTAAAATGTTTCTAAGGTTATATTGTTCTGTTGTCTTAGTGAATAAACCTGCATCAATACTTCTTATTGACATTTCTTTTCTCTTGTTTTTATTTGCATATTTGGTGTTGAGGTAAACTAAAAGTAGCGGATCAATTAGTAATCAAGTTACGTTACTTTAATATTATGATACTTGGATTAGGTTAGGGACTACATTTTTTAGCAGGTAATTAGAAATTGTATCGGACTACATTTTTTAAAGTTACCCTCCCAACCCTGAGCACCACAGTGTTGTAATGTTGTTACAAATAAAAGTACTTTTTTTGTCCAATTTTACTTAGGTACAAGTACAAAAGTATTAGCATCAAAATATACGTAAAGTACCAAAAGTAAAAGAACTCATGGTGCAAAATGGCATCATGAAAGTCACATCACTTTAAAGTTTTACCTTATCCTATAATATTACATCATCAACATTTATTTGTTATATTATGTATTTTTAATCTGAATCTGCAAGTAACCACTAACTATAGTTATCAAATAAATTAAGTGGAGTAGAAGTGTAAAGTGGCAGAAGATGGAAACACTCTAGTAAGATACAAGTACCCCAAAATTGTACTTAAGTACAGTACTTGAGTACATGTACTTTCCACCACTGCATACAAAACATATAATGAACATGCAGTGTCTGTAGATATAAAAGGCTCCTTCTAAGGTAATGAAGATACCACGATTCTTTTTTCAGGTGATTATACACTAATGAAAACACACTGGACTTTAAAGACCCTACACACAGACACGCCCACATACTAATATGGGCGTGTACCGACTGACATCTCTCTCACTCAAAGAATTTCTACTTTTATGGTTTGTATGTTCTTATTGGTAATTTAGTTAGGTGACCTTATGTAAGTCCTTTTATACATTGCTTTTGTCCACCTTTGACCTGAGCAGAGGTCTAATTGGCCTGAGTAAGTGAAAACATCTGTGCGAGTACGCAGGGTCTTTAAGTAGAAGAAAATACCACAGTGTGAAATACTTCCCTGCATTCAAAATCTCACATAAGTACAAAAGTACAAAAGTATTATTAACAACATTCTCTTATACCAAGAGTAGAAGTACTCATTTATACAGAGTCATATTATTATTTATTGTATACTATTATTGAATAAACATTTTAACATTGTGGTTAGTCGGGGTGGATCTGATTTTAAATACTTTATATAAACTGTTGTGTTGTTGTGCATTGTAAAGCTGATCATAGGTTATGTTTGTAAAATCTTAATCTGCAAAGTATAACTGCAACTAAAACTACTCAAACTTGTACTTGAGTGAATGTTACTTTCCAGCAGTATCTGAATGCCACCTAAATTACACAGTTCGACACATGTCAGAGTGTGCTGCTATCCTGTCACATTAAATAAGCCCAAGCGTGGTCTTAAAGCAGTTATACAATTAGTGGTGACTGCAGGGAAAGTGTGAATCAAAGCTTAGAGAACAAAATGTCCTGTGCACAGTGAGCTGCAGAGCATGAGAAGAACCAAAACAAGCCTCCAATAAACATGAAATGAATTACAAAAGGGCAAAACACATGCAGGGTTTTCTCTTCCCTCTAATCATGATATGCCAAGAAAGTGTTTGAGGACGGGTGCTCCCTGAGGAGATTGTTGTCAGGCTTGTTTTGTCATGTTCTGCAATGTAATGTGTACTGTGTAGCTAGAAAAAACACCATCCCCAAGCACTAAGCTAACGCTAGCTGTAAATCAAGCCACGGCCTTCTGTGGCTCGCTTGAAGGTTTTTCTGTGTCACCTAATGATAATGATTTTGAAATAGAAGGGGAAACACAGGGTCCGATTACTATGTGCAGCAATTTTTGGAAGCGAGAGATTCAGCTTGAGATGCCCTTTAAATGTCAGGTGCTAAAAGGTCAAACTGTATGAGGCTCAGGGTCATTACACAAGAAAAAAAAAGTATTTGTCAAATGGCAACAAAGCATCCACAGAAATGAACAATATGTGCCCACTTTTCTCCAGAAAGGGCTTCACTGATTCACAGCGTTCATGTAAAACAGCAGCAGAGCGCTGGCCTGGAAATAAGGTTGAATCAGCTGTGAGAGATTCAGATGAACCCGTTGCACCGACTCATGAGTGGCCCCTACAGTGAATGAGACGCAAAGAAAAGGAAGAGTCATTTATAGAAATGATGTAATGAACTGGGTTTGCAATCATGTCGTCACAGCCCTCACAGACATTCCCGTGTGTCGAACAGCATATGACCTGCTCCCACGAAACAGCCAAAACAAGCTCGTCTCAGACCCACTGTGGTTTCACACTGCGTACCACAGGGGAGGTAATTCTGCCTTTCCATCCTCGGTTGCCAATCTTGATGCCACACAGAATTTGAATCCCATTTTGTCTATTTTTCTCTCTCTTTTTTATATTAGCATTACAAAAGGACTTTTTTTTCACTTTCCTGCCCACCCACCTTTCTCATTCAACTGCCATCCCATGTCCCATGAAATGTCATCTTCAAGAACTAAACCATGGTGTGATTTAACTTCAGTAGGACACAGTATCAAGTAGCCTGAGTTAAGTGGGTAGAAGGTAAGCCTTGTCTCCCTGATGAGATAATCTCCATGATGGATAATTACATAACGTCTCTTATAAAATAGGTAAATCCGGTTTATGCTTGCTATGACTTGACAGCAAGATGAAAGAAAATGCTCCAAATATGGACCTTGTTTTTCAGACTGTAAATGTTTCATTCTTGTGGCTGTTACATGAATTTTGGGAAATGTGTTTATATATTTGCTTTCTGTCCAAGAGTTAGATGAGAACATGATTAGATTAATTGAGCATAAAGACTGTTAGCAGCGAGAAACAGCTAGCCTGACTCTGTTCAAAGTTCAATGCTCTTAAGGTCACTAATGAACACATTGTGTCTTTATTTAGTCCATACCCAAACAGAAATGTAAAAGATAACATTGTGGCTGTATTGGGAGTTAGTTCTTGGCAAAACAGCGGTGGGAAGCACTGAGTTCTTTCAAAATTTGCAGAAAAATCAGTTTATTTTAGGCACAAAGTTAATCTGCATGATTTTTCCCCCTGAAAGTTCCGATATATCCAAATTTAATAATACGGAAGTGCCTGAAAAAACCCCAAATATGGCCGTCTATGAGTCAAAGACCATTGTTCAATGTTATAAAAAAACACATTTAATTTCACCAAATGTTAAACTATTCATCTGAGTTATGGGCTGGCAGCAGCTCCAATGTGGAGGAATATGCAGGGAGATTTCCCATATTGGTAAACTTCTGCCTTGCCAAAGTGCCCCAGAACATAGCACCAAGTCTTAGCCCGCTCAACCTGACCTCTAAAAGAAAAAAAATGACTTTTTCTTTGGACATTTTGAGGTTTTATACTTAAACTTAAACTATAATTTTAGAATTGGGGGGACATTGGTGTTTTCATGAACAAAAAAGGCACAGGTTGGGTGTAACATCATTAAATAGGTCAATTAAAATGCAACTGTCCTCTTTTCCAAGCTCTCCAGCTGGCTGTTATATATATATGTTCCTCTTACCTAACATGGTTCTGCAAATTCTTTATATTACAGCTTTGGAGAGAAGTTTCCATTTCAAACCACAACAGTCAGCAAATTCCAGGCATCTGTGAATGTACCGAGCTCACGCTTGTTCGCTCTTCATCTGCCTGAGCTGGCACGGATTCAAACTGGCCCTTGTAACCTCAGTTAGATAAGAAGGAGGCTGTGCCAGTCTGCCCTGCTCAGCCTCTTGTTCTCACAGGTTATAATGAAAGCAAAGGCATTTTTTTCCCTGATAACTTCCATTGTTCTTTGATGTGGATAGAAGAGGATGCTTTTTATCCTGGCAGCTATTTCAAAGAAACCTTCAATGTTCATCCTGAGAGGAATGTTGCTTCAGGCATTGCTCAAGTTTTCTTTTTTTTGTGTGTGTGTTTCTCATTCTGGACACTCTCATTCAGACTGAACAAAGGACTCCAAGGGTTCAAGCATTCCAGGAGGCTCTTGTCTCCATTTTGAGACATTGAAGTCAAACAAACTCCTAATCCCTCCACACCCTCATAGGTGATTGACGGGAATTTCATCTGTGACTTTTAACATGAGCAAGGTTAGAAAACACAAACACGGATCACAGGCAACGTGCAACAGTCTAAACACTGCTTCATCCGAGATAGAAATTCAGTTGGTCATAGAAATATGTAGCCTTTCTTCAATATTTATGTCAGAACTTGTGGTGCCCTGATGTTGAATCCTTTGTGGGGCTGCTCTTGCATGCATGAGGCCAATGATGAAATATTTCAGGTATCAGGTATAAAGATGCCTCTTTTTGTCCTTTACATAACCATATCTCACCAGTAATTTTTCTTTTTTCCTTTACTTAACCAGGTAAAGTCTTATTGACAGACACTTGGCCATGAAGGTAGCTCAAAAAAAATGTTTAAACAATAATACAAACAACATTAACAGAATAAGACAACTTTTGCAAACCACAAAAGTTCACACATAATGTACTGTTAGGCTGCATAGAGGGTAAAAGCAATAGTGGGATTAATATTTATCAAAATAGGAACAAAATAATGCATAATGCATTTAGTAGCAAACAATGTAATGCATTGCTTGAATAGTATATAGTAGTTCCCAGAATAGGACATGTAATTAAGCCATGACCCACTTCAACATTTTGTATTTGTAATGTTTTATCACATAGACATTTCAGGAACTGGTTTACTTCATGGTACAAGAATAACTTCTGGTCCCACTTCATGATTATATAACAGATATGAAAATGGTAATTGAATGGTAGAGAATGTCCTGAAAGAATGGAAGTTAGACTGGGTGGTTCTTGGCTAGCTGAGTGAGAGGAGAGGAGGCGGGGAGCTTCTTATGGGCTTATGGGAGGACGCATGGAGAAGCATTCCTCTCATAGTTTCGGGACACCTCTTCAGCCCGCGCATACGTCAGATCTGCTGGGAGTGTATAAAAGGAGATGGGGACTCCAAAAGAGGGAGAGCAAGCACTCCTCAACTCACTGCCAGGTCTGGTGTTTGATAGAGAGAAGATTTTTTTACTCAGGAAAGAAAACTTGCGAAGATGTGGAAAGTCTCTGTCGTTGTGATCCTCTGCGTTACACTGGTGAGGAAACAGTCACTGTTCATCCATAGGCTGCCTGTTCATCTGTTATAAGAGGATCCTGTTTAATCTCAAAGTTTTGATTAGAAATGTCTGATGTCGTGTTTTATCTTAGGTGTCAGCGTCGTGCCCGCAGGACTGTCAGTGTCCCCCTGACACCCCCAGATGTGCAACAGGAGTCAGTCTCATGCTGGACGGCTGTGGATGCTGTAAAGTTTGCGCACGACAGCTCTTTGAGGACTGCAGCAAGGCACTGCCATGTGACCACACAAAGGGCCTGGAGTGTAACTTTGGAGGGAGATATGGCTCTGCTAAGGGCATCTGTCGAGGTACAGTGACTTTCTCTTCTTCCCTCTTCTCAGTCTTTTTATGCATTTAGTCACTTCACTCTTCTGAATTCAAAACCTCACAACCTTTCTCTGTTTTCTCTAAAACAGCCAAAGCAGACGGGAGAACTTGTGAGTACAACAACAAGATTTACCAGAACGGGGAAATCTTCCGTCCAAACTGCAAACACCAGTGCACTTGTATGGACGGTGCTGTTGGATGTGTCTCCCTCTGCCCACATGAGCTCACTCTGCCCAAACTGGGCTGTGCCAAGCCCAAGCGGGTCAAGGTGCCAGGGCGGTGCTGTGAACAACTCGTCTGCCCCGAGGAGGCAAAGACAGAGAGCTCGGTGGTGAAGAAGCACATAAAAAAGCACAGCAAAGACAGCAGACCATCCGAAGACGACCTTACCAACAGGAATGAGTTGGCTCCTGTGTGGAGAGGAGACTCAAAGTCTTTACCTGGTGAGCAGTAACACAATGTCCTTTTTTTGGTTATATCTAGAGCCAGATATAAAGAAATGTGTGTTAAATTACAAACATAGCTGCATGTGCTTGAGATGTCTTGATTTTTTCTTTTCTAAACCTCTTCTCTTTTTTTTCTCTATGCAGCTTTCAGGAGCCACCCAATGTGCGTGTCTCAAACCACAGCTTGGTCGCCTTGCTCCAAATCCTGCGGCACTGGAGTGTCCACCAGGGTGACCAACAGCAACACCAAGTGCAAACTGGTGAAAGAGACTCGGATCTGTGAAATCCGCCCATGCAACCACACGCCCTCTACCACATTAAAGGTACCTTACACACTTTTATTGGCCTGATCTTTAGCATTATTTACAGACATATTTAGATCATTGGTCTGTAATCTTAATCATAAATTACACTTTTAACACTTTTGATGTCTCCTCTCTGACAGAAAGGTCAGAAATGCAACCACACAGAAAAGGCCATCCGTCCAGTTAAACTGTCCTACACAGGCTGCCGTAGCCTGAAAAAGTTCCAGCCAAGTTACTGCGGGTCCTGCTCAGACGGGCGATGCTGCAGGCCTCACCGAACCCAGACGTCGCCCGTCCGCTTCCGATGCAGAAATGGCGAGTTCATCAGCAGGATGGTGATGATGATTGAGTCTTGCAAGTGTAACACTGACTGCTCTGGCAGCAACAAAAAGACCGCCGCCCACTACAGACTTTTTAATGACATTCACAAACTGAGAATGTAAAGCTCTGAATTCAAGTTGGAAAGAAGACCCTTAAAGTGTCATAGAACAATGTACACTTTGAGGTTGCAGACATCTGTAGGATGAATGTCTTGAACTATACTGTTCATGATTTTTGCTTCATAACATTGGAGCCTCGTGGTTTGTTTCTTTTTGAAGCAGTTTTTTTACATTGTGAAAATTCTTGTTTTCTAGTTTAACCAAAATGTGTTTTCCACTTTTATTTTATATAATAATTCACATATTTAAGCCTCTCTTGACAAGACATGTCACATGACAACATGGAAATGACACAAAATCTATGGCAGCTACTAAATCAAAGTCATTACACACATGTCGCCATGTTTCTGTTGATCTACTGTACTTATTCATTTTATTTATAAGGAATAATATTTCATACTTCACTTAATGCATTGTTAGATGTAATTATGGGATATTCTATGATAATATGGGTTTAACATGTGTTGGAATATGACTGGAGACTGGAAATGTACTGTACCATATGTGAGTTGGTGAATTAACTGCCATGTTTGCAATTTGATGTTTTAATTTTTCACAAATAAACACATAAAACAATACAGTTTTCCAATTATTCTATATACAGAAGCACAGTAAAGTTTGGGTCTTGCAATAATCTGAAAAACTGACATTCTCAGGGGGGGTCTGCTGTAACAGTTTTCAGTAGGAAATGAGCTCTACTGTTTCAACTGCATCTGGCTGACCCACTTCTGAGAGGACCTACATGTCACTGCATAGTTTAGGGAATGAGTGTAATGTAAACTACAGAGTGGTTTTCCTGCTGTTGGACAGATGCTGGCCACAAGCCGCAGACTTTTCTTTTATAAAAAAACATTATAGGTTATATAGAGAATTATCTAAACGTTCCACAGAGAGATATTATATGTAACAGTACAGTCTCTCGTGTGCAATCCTGAACCTGAAATATGTTGCTCCTGATAATGAATGCCATGCACATTATGAGTAATATAATATCACCCCTTTCCCTTCTAAAGTTTGACTAGTATAACTATTAAGGGATTATTTTTCCATCCAAAAGAGTTGATACATCAGTTAGCCAACCGTATGTGACCTTCAGAAAAACCTTTTAATATGTGCAAAAGTGAACAGTGCCTCTGTTTGTTTTTGATAACTGGCCCAACAAAACAAAAAAGAAAAGAGACAAATGGGTCATCCAATTCCTTTGAGTCTAATAAGGACATAAACTCAGGGTGTGTCAATCAGGGTGCTGAATCGTGATACCAACCAAATTGCAAGAAGTCAGATGTAAGCTTATTTTCCAGCAAACAGCAGAGAAAAACAAATTCCCAAAGTGTGCATAGAATTACGTAAACGGGCAGGACCACGAGAGCGAGAACAAGAGCAAAGGAAAAACAGGGGTACTGACGCACACAGAGATGAACTGGTTCCATCCCCTGACGGAGAGCACAATAGAGCTTTGTCTCTGAGAACTTGAGAGGAGCACTGCTCATTCAGGGGGAATATGTCCACAGCAAGGGCACATCAGAGCCTGGACGCAGGGCTGGACTCATGGTAGTTTATTACCATAGATACAGTACAGTATGGGACCACAAGCAACAACAGTACAAGACAAACATAGTTGAGTTTTTAGGTAAATGCAGCAGATACCTGTGCTCTATGTGTAAAAACATCCATTACAAAAGCACGCCAAGCAAAAGATTTTTAAGTGGTTTGGAAATAGCCCAGTGTTGCATGTAGCTCAGTAATTATGTTTGCAACCCTAAAGGCATGAGCTTCACAGCTGACAGCTAAACAATTAATTCTCAGCATCATTCATCTCAGTCCAGCTGAGGATAAACACGTTCAATATACATCACATTTTCTTTTAGGATCACAAAAAAAAAAAACACCACACGCTTGTTTTCAGCATCATCAGGTTAACGGGAGCAAAGTTGGAGCATATTTCACATCTAAACGGAGCACCATGGAAAGCGTGGTTTATTCGACCACGGGTAAACCTGGCGAGGATTTTCGCAACAACATAATATTTGGTTTTCAAGCACTACCTTTACTGGTCAACAATTACTTTCATAATTAGGTGTATGTAACTTCAAAATATGGCAAAAAAAAGTTTGATCTGCAGCCCTGAGTCTTACTTTGTATATTGCATAGAGCTCATTTAGTAGTGACTAAGGTAAGACTGCTGACTAAGCGGCCAATGCATTATGGGTAAAATGAAACACTTGACAGAAGCAAAAACTTAATCTAACAAAACAGTTCCACCTAGTGGCACATTACTTTTCTCCAGCTGAAACCCCCTTTTATTTATTTATTTGATTAATAAATGTAGTTAATGGAATATCAGAAAATAGTGAAAAATGGTCAGAACAGGTACTCCAAATGTGATATTGCTTGATTTAGATTGCTTGTTTTATCTGACCAACAGTATAAAACCCAAAGGTAAATACCAATACCATTTGTAAAGTTCTAACCACAGAATTATATGAATTAATTAAACAATGAATCAAAAGCATAACAGATCTGCTGTTTTCTTAAGGCTCTCACAACAAACCAAAGATTTGCCACATTGTGTAAGGTGGTAAATGGATAGATACCACTCACATCTCCTAAACTAAATGTATGCAACTGGCTTCGTGTCATATGGAAATAAGATACAGTAGCACCAAGAGTTCACAAATTTGCATACACGTGAAAATATCATGTAACGTCTCTTGAGACTGAAAACAGGTATCAAAACTGCAGCAGATTTCCCCGATACCTAGAAAAAAAATCCCAGATTGTCAGCAAAATGTAAAAGTACATACCCAAACATAGCTAAAATATTTCAATATAAGCTTTCACTTCCTCTAAAAAAAAGTGATAGAAATTCTCATTTTTAAATACACCATATAAATATCACCCAAGAAAGAAAGAAAATAATTTTAAAATGCAAACTTATAAATCCTTAATCATTTTAAAAAATATGAGGATCCAAAACTTGATGTTGGCAGTCCCTCATCAAACATGGTTTTATAAGAGTTTTTGAGAAAATCAACGTAGTTCTGTATGCTTTGCTTGTGGCTCTCTGATTGGTCCAGGCTGAGCTGCAGGTCCTTCAGGCGCACCTCAAACTGTTTCTCCGCCTGCAGATGAAAATACAGCGGTTTTACCTCAGATATCAACACATCTCCGGTTGAATCAAAGATGAATTGAGTACAATCTGAGCGTTTTCAATGACATTCAGTTTATTGATATGCTCAAGAGAAGCGTGAGACTCACAGTGAGCTTGCTCTGGCGAAGAAGCCTCAGCTCATTATCCCGTCTGCACTTCTCAGCTTCCAGCTCGAGGATTTTGGTCTGGAGGGTCTCGTCTCTGGAAACAGCCTGGTCTTTTACCTTGTTGACCTGGACAAGTGGAAAAGCTTCAAATTATCAAACAAAGTGAAACACAACACTTCCTGTGCACCAATCTTTATCTGGAAACACCTACAGCATCAGAGACTAAGACAATATTGATGTTTTATCAGCTGGATATGTAGGCTTGATTGAGCTGTATCGTGTCAATCAGTAACAGATCCAATATTTCTTTATATGATGCCACCTGGTCTACAGATGACATTTTATAGCAGTCGGCTAGACAGATAGACAAATAGATAGATAGATAGATAGATAGATAGATAGAAATACTCAATTATTATTATTAATACAAAATTAGATCATGTAACAGGAGAAATACTGATGATTGACAATCTTACTCAGATGTCGCTAGACGGTCTATGAGCTGTACCTGTTGTTTCACGTCTGATAAAGCTGCCTCCAGCTGCCGGCTGAGGGCCTGGCACTCTGACGAGCGCTGATCCAGCTGCCGGTTACTGTAGCCGAGCGCTTCCTCCTGAGCTGCGAGCCTCCGTACCAGCTCCAGGTTCTCCTGCTGCAGCTTTTCCATCTCCCTGCAAACACACACGTTAAACAATTTCTGTTGCATTATTACAAAATAGACTTTTTTTCTTCTTTTCGTCTGTCGTTGCTCAGACAAGATAGACCTTACACACTGTGTGACAGAAAAACAGTAACCAAACCCAGGATAAATTAAATGGGTACAGCGCAGCATAGGATTTAAGTGTGTCTGTCTGTGTGTGTGTGTGTGTGTGTGTGTGTGTGTGTGTAGGTGTGAGTGTATATGTAAGTGTTAAGGAGCAACAAGGCGGAGTGGTGTATTATCTGAGGAATGCAAAGAGGAAAAGAAAAAACGAAGAGTGAGAAAAAAATTCCGACTAATTGACCAGGGAGAGAAAAAAAAAGAGAAATAAGTAAATACTGGGTAGGAATAGAAAATTACAGGGAGAAAAAAAAACACAAACAAAAGAAAAGGAAAGGAAAAAGCAAGAAGAGAGGGGAAGCACCTCACAGTGTCCTGCGTTCATCTACTATTATCATTTACAAAAAACACAAAGTAGACATCTAAAGAACAGACAGGAGAGGATGTCTTACTTGTGGAGAGAATTCATTTTCTCTTGTAGTTGTAAATTGGCCTTGTGAATGGACTCTTTCATCTCCACAGATGATGTGAGCAGTTTTGCCTGACTCTCCATCTGTAAATGTAAGATGTAAAAATTCAGAATTGCCTGTGTGTTACAAGTGAATGGAGCAGAAAACAGGGTTTCACAGTGGATACAATAACAGCCCATTTAAAAAGGTCCAGTGTGTAACATTTACTAGGATCTATTGGCAGAAATGGAATATATTCATATATATATATTCATAGATATGTTTTCATTAGTCACCTTAAAACCTGAAAATAAGAACTGTTGTTTTTTCGTTACCTTAGAATAAACCTTTTACATAAGCCTTTTATATCTACAGACGGCGCGGGTCGCCTTCCATGGAGGGTGCCATGTTGAACTGCCATGTTTCTACAGTAGCCCAGAATGGACAAAGCAAACTGTCTCAATTTTTAGTGGGCACTCTAGTTTCTCCTTCACATTTGAAAAGGGAGGTTGAACCAAGAGACTTACCATCTGCGATTACTAGATGCCACTAAACCCTACACACTGGTCTTTAACGCTATTAAAATGGGCAGTTTTAAACATTCAATCAATTCATCATTGCTGATAGAAACACGATGGTGATTGAAAAGGACACAGCACAAGAACACTCACATATGGGGCACATAAGGATGGTTGAAACCTAACTGATTCCACTGCAATCAGAGAATACTGAATCACAAACATCAAAACCAACTCACAGCAGCACCAAAAAAACAAGATGCACATGGGGTTGTACTACCACCTAGTGGTCGGATGTAGGAAAATGACGACATTTAACATCCTCTGACTGCCACAGCTCATGCTGCACACCTTGACCTGCAGTTGCCTAATGGACTCTGACATTTCTGAGCACTTCCTCTCCGAGCGCCGCAGGTTCTCCTGGCACTCGAAGAGACTCCGCTCAGCTGCACTCAGTAACTCCGGGTAAGGCTCCAGTTCCTCCACTCGCTCCTGCAGCTCCTGCCTCGCCTGGGCTCCAGAGGATGGCAGAAGGAGTGGGGTGTTGGGAATAGACAAAATGTTAGCCTAAGGATTCATCACACCTCTCAAAGAGATGCTCACAGATGCGTGTAATCCTTTAAGCGTGCAGAATGTGCAGAGATTCATCTTTAGACCGAGCTTTGGAAGTTGTTAGTCCAGTCCAGAATTACTGTAAGAAGTTTAGTAGTTAGCAGGGCCACGTGCAAAATGTTACGCAGCTGAAAAAGAAACATGACTAACTAGCAATTCAACAGCAGGAGAAACAGCGCTGCAGAGCTGAAAAAGCACAAGAGTACTGTTAGAATGAGCTTTTAAAACAAAAAAAGAGTTCATAAAATATAGGGAAAATGTTAGGTTACCTTCTCAACTTCTGTATCTTTTCCATCTCGTGTCTTCTCTACCTCTTTTAAAATGTTTTTATATTTTATCCTCAGATCATCAATCTCAGCTTGAAGCTCTGCAACCTTGAAAAAAAAAAAAAAAAAAAAACACAAAATATTCTAAAAAACAATGTTTTGTTGCTTCAGGAAGAATTACATAAAGGATAAAACAACAGTGAAAAATCTAAAGTGCAAAACATGACTAATTTATGGTGTATGAAGGAAGAAAGGATAAAAGGATTAACAGTCTGTGGTCTTAAAACTTGTTTGTGTTCCCAGTACAGATGTCCAATGCTTTCTTTGCCACAGTGTTTATAATCTATTCTGAAAATAGACCAATATACACCTAAAAAAAAAAAGTAATATTTTCTTTGATAAATGACAGCAATTAATATCCCATCTGCTGTGCGAACCCTAATCTCTCAGCTTCTAAAAATAAATAAAAGAAAAAAGTGACGAGTATAATTAATGAGCAGATGTCAACCTGATATTGGAACTGTTCGGCCTGAAGTTTCCTCTCCTGGGACACAACCGTCTCCTCCACCAGGGCAGACTCACAATCAGCCAGCTGCTGCTCCAACTGAGCTACAGATGCCTCCAATCACACAAACATCAAAACAATTTTAGTGACGGAAAAAAAAATCTAAAAGAGATAAAGTTTGTTTTAAGTATATATAATATATAGAATATAATAGATGTGTACAAACATATGAAGCCAGATAGAACTGCCTGCAGACCACTAAATGGCTATATGAATAACCATGGACAACATATTTATGCAGCAAGTGTTTTACAGTAATGATTCTCATGTGCAAGCTGTTGGGCAACTTCTACCTTGAGCGCTGCATTATTGACGCTGAGGTCTCCATTTTCAGCACTGAGCTTTTCAACACGTTGCATCACAGTTTCATTAGCTGCACTGAGCTCGTCCTTCTCCATCCGCAGCCTCGCCGTCAGGTCTGAAACTTGACTTTATTGGAAAAAGTACACATTTAAAATGCATCAGTGACAATTGGCAGTTGCCGTATGTGTGTATTGGTTTTGATGAAAGAGATGGTGCCTGACCTTTGCAACAACTCTATATGAGCTACAAGTCTGTTCGTCTCATCCGTTATCTGCTCCTTTTGTCGTCGCCTGGAGTCTCTTTCTGATCGGGCGCTGGCCAGCTGAGCATCCTGCATGCCAAAAAAAGAGAAGAAAGCTTAGAAAAATACACTATTTTTAAAACCAGAAGTCACAGCCAATATGACTTTATACCTTCTCTTTCATTTGCGCATAGCATTTCTCAATAGCAGCTTCAAATCTCTCAGCTCTCAGTTTCTGTGCTCGGGTTGCTTTCTTGAGAGATTCTTTGTCCTGGGCCGCCTTCTCAGTCAAAGAGGTGAAGGAGCCTTTGAGATCATCAATCTCCATCTTTTGCTCCGTTATGGTTCTCTCCAAAGTCTGGAAAAGACAGCACACCCATAAAGACATGCAATCATTTTTTAATCTTTCAAACAGTTTGTCCAGGAAGTGGTGTATTGATAAAGGAATTTATACCCGTAGCTGTACAGTCAGACGATTGTTTTCGGCTTCCTTGTTCCGCAGCTGCCCCTGCAGGTGAGCACGGGTCGCCTCCACAGACTTGGTCATGTGAACTGCAGACTTTATGTTCTCCTGTGAAAACCATTATAGGCAGATGCTTTACAATGCACTCTGCATCCTTTTGCATTTTTAAAGCACATCTATATGAAAAACTTCTGCTGTGCTCACCTGCTCCTCTCTCCGCAGATCCATCAGCTCCTCAACTTTCCTTTCTGTCTCACTCAAATCTCTTTTTAAGTGCTTTAGGAGAAAAGTGACAGTGATCAGTACATGGTTGGAGACTGGAATTTGTATAATTTAAGGTTTTATGCAATAAAAGAGCAATCAGTCTCATACATTGGAGGCCTTAGTGTCACATTTTTCAGTATCATATTAATTCAGCACAAAATGTGGCTTTGTTTGGTGACAGCCTTGACATTAATGTGGCCAGCAGTTACCAATTGAACCACTCCATTCAGTACACAGGACATAAGGTCCAGATTAACCCTTTCTCACGGACTAAATCTTCCACCAGGTTGCCACCAGTTAAGCACAAAGATTAACTCGCTTACACTTAAATTCATTGCATGAACTTTATCAAACACTCACCTCATTTTCAGTCTCAGCCTGTGTGATCTTCTTCAATAAGATGTCAATTTGGTGGTCAAACTCAACTCGATTGGTCTTTATACACACACAAGTTATTTAAAACATGTTAAAGGAAAATGAAAAAGCTTTTACAATATGCATTTAAGTCAGAGTCTTTCATTTGCTCTCATCAACTTAAATTAATTACAGTAGTACTGCTTATCTAGACTAATGACTAACTATCCCAGGCAATATAAAGGTATAAGTATTGTAACCAACCTCTGAATCTTGGAGCTGTTTCAGTTTCTGTCGAACAGACTTATTGATTCGTCTAAAATCCTCCAACTTCTCCAGCAAAAGTCCTCTCTGCCTTGCAATTCGGCGCTTATCATTAGCGGACTGTCTCGAATCCTTAATTTTAAGAGAAAGAGAAGTTTGAATAACGAGTCATGAATGTCAAAACTATACTTTTTAAATAAATATTAATAGGTAAATTGTTTTAGTTTCCAACATGGAGGATCCATGTTTGAACCATGCAAAACTCCAACAAACATACAGCAAATTCATCCTCCATGGCATCTTTAAAAGACACAAGTTGTATGGCAGCAGAGTTGGCAGCTGCTTCTGCATCCATCAGTATTTTCAGGAAAGGGCTTTTTCCATCAACAAAGTCTCCATGACTGAAGGAAAAACAGGAAGGAAATGCTTTAGATCGGTTAGGCTGTGACCCACCCACACAGAGATCAGGCTTCAGGTTCACATGTTCATGCATAGTAGGACCTCACCAGCTGATGTCAGTCTCTGGGGTTCTGGTGTGGAGACTGCTGCGTGCTCTGCTCCTTCTCCCCAGCTCATGAGAGCTAGCTAGATCTCCACAGCTCAGAGTAACATCCTCCCTGATGGAGCTGAAACCAAGGGGGGGACTCTGGAGTTCATCCTCTGGAGACATACTTTCTTACTGCTGACAAAACAACAAACAGTATAAGTTATTGATAACATACATACAGAGGAGGACAGGATGTTAGTTCGTGTCATGACTTTTAGCTTCGTACCCTGCATAGCCTAGCTTGCACGTTACTATGAAGGACAGACTAGGTTGTCAAGCTAACTAACTTAAGCTTTACACCATAGCAACAGACAGTCGACAGTAAGTGATTTCTAAGCTTTACGTTACGCCAAAGCCAGCAAGCATCCTGTTTATTCTATCAAGCAAAGCGGCTGGTATCTACAGTATGTATATTAGTAATAAAGACATAGTAATCTCTTATAAAACAATGCAAAAGAAAACGTAAATATGACTTACGTTTTCACCTTGTACGGTTTGCGAACAACGCTACTCCAAGTTAACTGAAGAGCCCCACCCCCGTCTTGAAAGCTCGAACCCGATTGGTTAGCTCTGAAGCAACGTCACGACACCGCCTTATTTCCTCGCTGCTGATTTGTTCCCCAAGGGCAAAGTGGGCGGTACTAAGTTTGATTAAAGTTGCGACCAACCAATGAACAACAGAAAGCAAAGGACACTGGTTGAAACCATAGAAACGAAAAGGAAGTTTACTGCCACGGTATCTCAAACTATGCTAGATTAACACCAAATTACGAAGATTATCTATATTGTTTTGTTACATTTCAGTCTGTGGAAGTCAAGACTCAGCATAGCAGTGTTCAGATATATACTCAGATTAAAACTAAGATTGATTTACCTTATTTTGGGGCCTTTTAGTGCTTCGTCAGTCGAAGATAGCAGGACAGCTAATGCTCGGCTTCTGTTGACGGGAAATGTCCAACGCAAAAATACTCTTTATTGGTCCCAGTGAGGTACGTAAATGCCTTTCCCTCCACTGCAGATGACCCTTTATTTTTACTGGTAGATGTCGATCGGTAACTAGAGAACAGTTTGTGAATAGTGAAAGCGCACAGCTTGTGTTGTTACGTTAGCTAATAGCCCCCCCTATGTTTTAGCTTTATGCAGAACATCAGGAGCAGCTGTATGTTTATAGGAGAGCACTTGTGTGTATGTTTTCACAGGTGACCAGCTTTATATGTGTGTTTGTTAAGTAAGAAGCGTGCAGTGGTGTTTACAGGACAATGTTTCGTAATGCTACCTGTACAGTAGTTCAGCTTACTTAAGTCTCTTCATGTGATGCTACTTTATAATTTTACTCAACTACATTTCAGAGAGAAATATATTGTATCTTCCACTGCACTACATGTATATGACAGCTTTAGTTACTCATAGTGACACTGCAGGTTAATATAAAACATAAAAAAGGGCTTTACAATAGATAATAATAGAACACTTAAAGTTGTCATTCTGCCCGCATTATGAGTGCTTTTGCTTTTTTATATTGCTTCCTTAATACTGTAAGTAAAACTGTATGTTGCATGGTGTTCAGCTGTTAACTTAAGTAACATTAGCCATGCTGCATGCACATGGAGCCTTTATTAAGGTTATTAAACGGCCGCCAGAGAAAAAGCTTACACCACTCCACTGCAAATACAAACGTACTGAAGTAAAAGCTGACAGATATACTATACTTTATACTTCTTTCATAGCAGACATTGACCTGTTAAAGCAGGGCAAAGCTCAGGTGTAACTGATAACACTAATGATGACTCAGAATCATTTCAGTGTCCCAGTAAGCCATGCCAGCATACTAGTCATATAAACATGTACATAGAAAACACCTGTGCTTTCACCTGCTGCTGTGAAGGCTCATTAGCAGGAAAATTAACTTCTATATGAATGTAATAATAAAGAATAGGCCTTTTTCAGAGTGTTTATTAATGCACTGTAACTGATGACTATTCTAAAACATGTCTGTTTTTCAGAGTGGGAAAACGATTCTTGCCAATTATCTCTCAGACGCAATAGAAAATGTGGGAAGTGAATACAGACCGACTCAGGGAGTAAGGTACAAACCCTGTGCCAACTTTCCTTCTTTCCACATGGTACAGTTTACCCAAACTCTGAGAAGATGTAAATAACACGATCTAACAGAATGTTTGGAGCTTCATTTTAAATTTAGTGTAAAATCATTTAAAAGCAAATACCAAATCTATTTTGCCTTGTGATGTATTAAAAACTAAAAAACTAAAACTAAACAGCTGTTTTCTACTCTTTCAAGGATAGTGGAATTTGAATCACTACCTCAGGGCAGCGGTGACAACACGCCATGTGAGGTTGAACTTTGGGACTGTTCAGGAGATTTCAAGTAAGTTAAATACAAACACATTTTCAGTGATTTCCATAATTTATAGTTTCCTGTTTAGTGAATCGTACCCAGATGCAGACATACAATATATTCTCTTCACAGATTTGAATCGTGTTGGCCTGCATTGATAAAGGACTCCAGCGGTGTGGTGATCGTTTTTAATCCTGATGTTCCAAGTCACCTCAAAGAAATAGAGACATGGCATTCAATGTTCATCTCCTCTCAAGGTTTCCACGACAACCAGTGTCTTCTCATAGCTCACCACAAGCCTGGCAGTGTAGTAGAAGACAGACGACTGCCATTAGGTATTTCCACTGCAGGCCCGGCCTCCCGAAGCTACTGTATGAGTTATTATAACTATTTCTGAGCTAACATGTTCATTTTTTTCGATGCAGCCTCGCATTTGGGCAGACTGCCGATTATTCACTCCAACCTGGAGGAGGAACCGGAGGACGTGAGGAGAGCTTTCTGCAAATACTTGGGAAACGTTTTAAATACAATGTCGGAAAGTCGAGAGCGAGAGGAGATGTCCATCATTACATAGCAGCAACATCTATAAAATATACAGCTTGATGAAGAAAAGTTTTGTTCATTTTTATAAGTCTTGTGAATAAAATATAACTTTGGAAATTAATGCTCAAGACACTAAAGATACTTATCTGATTACATACATTGGTTTATTTGAAAATGGTGTGCAGGTTGTTGAGAATGTGACAGTTAGAAGTGCCAAAGGAAAAAGAAAATACAATATTTAGACATCGTATCCAATAAGGCCTCCTTTGCCGATGCACTCGCCGATGTAGAACCACATCAGCACCTCAGTGGCCACAAGTCCATTCCTGAAGGCGTCCTACAACACAAAAACATGCACTTATTTAATGTCAGCATCTAGAATTAGAGAGCAGTAGTTTATAATAGTTTATATTTAAAATGAGGCCTGACAATGTAACATGAAAGAGTAATTGTACAGCACAGAAATGAGTCCCTTCCCATGCATACAATTACCTGCTATCAGTCAGTCACACACCAACTTATCTCGTCATGCATCCAGGTCAGTCTCCTTTGTGTAACTGTTAACTTTTGACACCGCCTACATCTTCACACAAATAACCTGTTCTTGTCATCTTTGAGTGTTTTTCCACTCATTTTTCCTTTGAACTAACTGAAAGGGCATTTAATCACCCTACACTGGCTGTTTATTCATGTGGCCCACACAGTTTACTTCTATTGTCTTGTACAATTATCCGGTCATTTCTATTGTATATGCAGATAAACTCGACCGTTAAACTGGTGTATACAACACACTGCAGACCCAACATCTGAGCCAAGGGACTTACCACGTATTGGCATCAGCCACATTCAGATATAATTACTGCCTTCTGCAAAATAACAACCAATTAAAACTTCCCAGAGCACAAAGCTGCATGTTCAAATAGCATCGTCTGTCCAATAGTCCAAAACTAAAAGATATCCATTTCATAATTATATGAAACAGAGAAAATTAGTAAATAGAATTAAAGTTTAATGTTGTTTGATAGATGCCTTCAGTGATTCAAAACAGCTATGCACCCTAACAGACCAAAAAGGTGTATTTCTATTCCCTAGAAGAAACTACACATGTTCCTAATTCATGCAGGTGCACCTTTTACATCAAAGTCACTCACATATTGTTGATTTTTTTCCACATCAAAGAAAGTTGTAAGGACTCACTTTCACTGTGGTTTGTCCCAGGCGTCCAGACTGGTAGCTCTTGACGAGCCCCTTTGCGGCCTCTATGGCTTTGGGGATCTCAGCAGGGGAGGGTGGGACGAGCTCCACCCGGGCATAGTACCAGAAGGTCGCTAGTCGGGGTTTGGAGTATGTGACAGCGGCTGCAAGAGATACGGGCTGTTTTAGGAATAGCATTAGCTAATGAGCAGCAAAGTCAAGACGCACTGTGCCGCCTCGCATTTCTCTAACTACATAAAACATTTGGTACACTTTGCTGCAGTGGTTGATTCACCTGAGCTCGCCGTACCACAGGTGACACTGACAGGTTGTACAGGTGCTAACAAGCGGTGACAAGGTGACCTAGCTAGCGCTGTACGCTTTATTGAGCTGCCTCCGTTTATAATTGGTAAAGAAAACAGTACAAAAGGCGATTAAACTTACCACCAACTAAAGTAGGTACTTTTGCAATGAGTTTCTGCACCGCCTGTGCCATGGTGAACGGAGCCCAGCACACAAACACAGGAGAAGAGGAACGTAGAACAAACGTTGCGTGAGAAGGTTTCCGGGTCGTTGATTTCAAAATAAAAGGAGGTTAGATGAAATGTATATTGCACTTTCAAAATAAAATGGCGTCAAAGCAGAAGATAAACGTCTAAATAAGACAATCTGCGTCATTTTTGACTACTTTGGACTACTTTTTGTGATGTGAGTGTAGCCATACAGAAGCTTAAAGACAAACTGGACCATCATGTCCATTATTTCATGAAGAAGAGTTATTGAATAACTAAAGCAAAGCAAGTTTATTTGTATTCTATTTACAAAAACACAAAAGGGAGATCAATCAAAGGCACAGGAGAAAGTTACAGTTTTTAATTTAGCTTTTACAGAGACAAATCTCAATCAAATTGAGTCAGTAGGCTTGAATTATTCAGATTTTAAACAAAATGATTAGATCGCTTCATGCCTTGTGACGAAAGATCCCTACAAAATGTTTCTTTGCACTGTTTCCCATAAACCCCTGTTTCGGGTTAGGTTTGACATGTAGAGCACACACACATGCCTTCATGCATTTTTTTCAATACAAGACTGCCTTGGGGAAGACATCCAATGATATAAAGATCCAAAATGGGTTATAATAGGATCTGTATGTGCGTGTGTGAGAGAGGAAGAAAGAAGTGTGTCTAACTTCTATATGTGCATGTGTGTGCGTGTACTTTTTGTGTGTACTTTGAGTGTGTGTGACATGGATGACTAAGTCATTACTCACTCTCCTCTGACTCACCCTGCTGCCCACATTTAAACAAAAAACTGGTGCAGTAACAATGTACAAACAAGAATGCGGGTTAGATGTGGATTTCCCAGGCAAACACCCAACTAATGGCGCCATCTGTTCAATTGTTAAAATAGGTTTTACTGCATAGATACATTTCACTATGATTGAAATTATTGTATATGACCATTAAACTTAACCTTACACGTGTGAGAAGACACCGTAATTACTCCTAGTTTAACAAGAATATCTCAAAATTGAACAGTTTGCAGAGAGCT